CGAAAACCATAAATATAAGCAAGTACAACTCAAAAAACAAAACACAAGTTACAATTATAGCTAGAATTGAGATAAAGCACGGTCTCTAGGACATAAAACAGTCTTTAAGTGCCAAGCCTCGACAACGGCATTCTTATGGAAGTAATCAACAACACGTGCTCCCTTTTCCCCATTCACATCAACTTGTCATTTCACTACACCATATATAGAGACTAAACAATAACAAAATGCATAATTGGAGAAGTATTAAAAAAGCTCACTTATCACCTGTGATAATAGAGAATTTAGTAAAAAAGGTACAATGCATGAGAGAGATAGTGTGTAAGAGAAAAACCAAATAACATATTGGTCTGAGTTCAGATGCAATATCTAACAAAAAGAATGCAATATTGTTTACCTGCCACCTTGATCTGAGTTCAGATGCAATATCTGCAACAATAACCAAACATTATATTTAGGAGATGAGAAGAGAAAAAATGGAAAGCTCACTCCAGCAATCCAAACAAGAGCCATCCAAACAACAGCCTTCAACTTTTTCACTGCACAAGGTTTTCAATTCAGAAATAATCAGTTTTCATGCTCATTTTTGTTATGCCCTTTAGTTATGTGAAATAAAAAAAATAGCCCATTTTAAAGAAAACTCACAATGGACTACAAAGGTAATATAAGAAGCGTACCGGATAGCAAAAAATGCATTGAGATTGAGAAAGAATATACACGATTGAGATTAGGTGCCACACAAACCTAGGAACTACAAAACAATTAGTCAATAAATGACTACATCCTCACCTGTTTCAAGGTGCACCCTCACCTATTTCAAGGTTATAAAGAATAAATGACCAATAAATATGAAGTTTAAGAAAGACTACATACAAATTTCTAGAAAAAAATTGAAAAACTAACTTTAGAAACAAAACCATGTTCAAAATGAGTACTCTGAATCATAAAATACACCACAAGACTTCACAAACAGATATATCAATCATCAATGAGAATATAACTAAAAACAAGCTCAGCAGATTATAGAGCATGTTTTTGCCTACGATTGCTTTACCACTTTTATCTGTTGTCAGAAACCAAGCTTGTTTAAATTTTCATCAAACTCTCCAGCTTCTCTTTGCTTGTCCTTCACACTCTACTGCTCTATGGCCCATATGACCACATAGAAAACATTTTTCTTGTTGCATTTAGGACATCTAGCAGCTTGCTTCACAACCCATCCCCAAAAGAAATTACCTGAAGTGTTAAGCATAGATGCATTTGTATACATTTCATCAAAAAGTACCGGTTCTTGAGCCATGCATTCCATTCGGTGCAGATGTTTCTCATAAAAGAATTGCATTTCATTCTTTGTCAGAATCCCATTTCCGTCAAAATCTATGCATTTGAACCTGTTTGAAAAGTAAACATGTTGATACCCAAACTTGTTCATGATAAAAAACAACCAGTAAAAAATGCTCTACATATGTCAAGTGCAATATTGTAAATTCATAATACAATAGAACATTCTATTCGTGAACCTTTTCCTAATGCTAAAAGCAAGTAAAATAAAATATCTATAGAGGAAAGTTCAACTCAAGAAAGTAGACCGCTAACACAATTTCAGTTCCAAATGATAATATTTGCAGGTATGTATGCTTTTAATTCAACTTATTTTCAAACTTCAAATATACCCCTTGTCATCTAGTTTGGTATCAAAAGCCTATTTCACAATATTCATATCCACTACTCGCAACTCTCAAGGATACAATAATTAGTCTACTGCCAAAATTTGCCATTTGTTAAGTGCTTCGTTGTATGAATTCCGAAGAGAGAAGAAAAGTTTTAGTGAAGCTACATGATACTTCCATTATCAAGAACACCCACCAGTACTCAAGACTAGGCTCAAAGGACTTATGCTCCTCTGACAATATGAAGTAAACAAGAAAAGTCTTCCGAAAGCGATTTTAGTAAGAGTTGCATTCCAAAATGGTACAAGGACCCCCATTTAACACTTTGGTTCTATCTTCATCATTTTGGAATTTAAAAATGATCCACCTCTTGGCATGGGATTTAACAATACAACTCACACCCCAATTATTTTTCAAGTCATAAATAGCCTTAAGGCCGGGAAATTTTCCGGTAATGTATCCAACAAGACAAAAACCCCACACTTCAACCATAGTGGGCAGCATCCTATCCGAAAAAATCCAAGGATTTGCCTTTCGGCGGAATATACCTCAATTTAATGCCATTTGATGGAGCCCTATTATCCTTAAAGAGAGAATTCCAAGGCTTTTGACCATTCCCCTGCACAGTTGTTATTGCTTCATTAATCTGTCTTGGAGACTTGGCAGTAGCCTCTCGCATTGCTGTAGGATTTTCCTCCAAAAGCTTTCTAGCAGCATATTCCTTTGATTTTATCCCAGTCCCCTGCTTCCCAGCCGACTTCAGTAAGGTATCAGTGAACTGCTCATCCCCAAGTTTAGCAGCCTGCAAGTCAACGGCCAAAGGAGAAAGTGCAGAGTCCTTAGGAGCAGCCCCAGAACTTGGCAGATTCACCAACGTCTGCTTCCCAGGTATCCCAACGTGAAGGGTAGGGAAATTTGCATCCAAACCTTCCAAAACATTGAAACCTGCAGATGTCCTAGACAACAAAATTACTCCAACAATCTCAGATAACTAACCTAAGTTTGCAAAATTTCATGAACAGTGAAAATCGGACATGAACCTCGTCGTTGCTAGGGTTCTTGACCGTCAATCATGATTCTGGTCTCAAATCCAAGAGCGAACACACATGTATTCCAAATAACACACCACGATTCTAAACCCCAGTTACTTCTTATTGCGTAAAAGATTCTCACAAACATTTCTCGACAAGAATTTGTAATATAACATGCAGTTCTAATTGAAGGAGAGTGCGAGCTGAATCTGTAGGGCGAAGTCGCAAGGACCTGAGGTCCTAAGTAGCGTCCGACAAGTGGCGATGTCGTCCTGGCGGTGCATCCGACGAGTGGCGATGCTGTCCAAGCAATGCATCCGGCGAGTAGCGATAACATCTAGGCAGCTCAAGGCAATGCGTCCGACGGTGGCTTTCTTCGAAGTCAATAAGCAGCCGTCGATGTGCTTGGTAGACGATTGACAGGCGGTTGTGTCGTTCTTCGCAGAGGATCGACGATAGATGCCGATCGACAGTTGCACACCCCTCAGCTCCGATGTTAGGGTTCTTCAAAGGAAGAAGGCTGAAATTTCGAAGGAATGAAAGGTTGGATGGCGTGAATGTGTTAGGAACGAAATTACGGGCCAAGTGTGTAGGAAATGTGGGCTTGAACGCGTTAGCTAGGGAGGAGCCTTTGCTCCCTAAAAGAATGTAGTGTCACTAAGCAATACTAATATATTTTGTTAGAAAATAGTGACACTTGTGTGTTAGTAATGTCATTTTATTAGAAAGTGTCACTGTAAGCCAATTTTCTACTAGTGAGAAATATCGTGTAATGACTCTTTATCTGACTCTTAATCACATTACTCAAAATCTGTTTGGGATGATACATGATTTGCTCCATTACTATTATGTATAGTCGGGTGTGAGGGTGCCCTAGGCCCCATAGCCTGCACGGTGCTTAAACACCCGGTGGTATCACCTCAAGGTGACAACTCCGATACCTTTCAGAAAAATGGGGTACCGTACCTATCATTCATTTGATTGGATCACATCACTTTATCATTTTTAATTTAGATTTAAATAATCCAACTGCTACATTCTCATTGGTCCATGCGGACAAAGGTACGGTACCTTATGGGTACCATAGAATCTACCTTTTAGGAAACCTGGATGGAATTAAAGATGGTGCAAATGATGCTCCCCAGACAAGGTCTTATGCGTGAGCATGAACGGAAGCAGCCAAATAGAGTTTCTATAACCCGTATTATATTTCGTAGGGGTGAACAAAAAAACCAAAAAACCGAAACCGACCGACAAACCGACCGAACCCGAACCGACCAAAACCGAAACTGACTCAAACCGACACCGATTCAAACCGACTAATCATTGACGGTCCGGTTTACGGTTTCACCTTTTGGATTAAAAACCGACCGACCGAACCGAAACCGACCGACAAAAACCGACAAAAAACATGCTAAAACCGACCGAAACCGACCAACCCGACCGAAAATAACCGAACCAAAACCGAACCGAAACCGACTCAAGTACTACGGTTCGGTTTTCGGTTTCACCTTTCCTAAAACCGAAACCGACCAAACCGAACCGACCAAACCGAAAACCGACCAAACCGAACCGACGAACACCCCTGATATTTCGTATTATAAGAAGAGTGTAATACTATCGCAAAGTCCTATTTAAAATGATAAAATGCATCTACTAGAATTTGAGAACTTGGGCAATATTTTACTCTTATTCGAACAATTACTTCAAATTAATTACCCCATACAAAATACTTAATGTTTGTACATAGGATAGAGGTAATCCGTAATTGAAATTCAAATCGTTCTAATGTACAATGTGTGCTTCACACCATAGCTTACAGTAGAATCTATACAAAACAATCTTCTTATGGTAATGACAATCCTTTTTTTCATCTCATATTAACTCTGTGTTTGACTTTACATTAGCAACTGGGTTTTTCTTAATATATCAATGAAATACGGAGTATAAATTTTAGACAAAAATGTGATAAAGATTATTACAAGTGCACTATCTTGGTCATTTGAATTGTAATTGTAACACAATTCTCTAGTCACTATATATAAAAGTCACTTTTTTCTAATACATTTACTGTCATATACTAGTACTTCGTATTAGTTGTAAAAAATGTGGTAAAAATTTGTTGATAGGAGATAAAAATGATATCCACCGCAAAATCATTTCCCTTAAAAGGAAAAAAAAAACAGAAAATTTATGCTAATATTGGGATACATATTGCCACAAGAAGGCTGTACGTGTTTGACCGTTTTTTTGTTGATGATGTTGATGGTTGACCAAATCTTACTTTATAAATCAAACTTATTGTCACACGCATAACACTTCTTGTCCTGGATTCAAACAAAAAGAATCATACATAGCTTTGCTCCAGTTTCATGGATACCTCTCAAGAAGTTGAACTCCAGAACCAAGGTTACTCATTTTGACTAGAAATTTATTTTTCCCTCAGTTCCATTCCATTAATCTGCAATAATATATTAGTAACTAATCTGAGCTGAATATCTGCTGGATTTATGATATTGTTTTTTGGGTAAGGCAATGATTCTACTAATCACCAGATGGAGCTTTCATCATCTCTAAGAAGGAACAAGAAATATACATGGTGGTTGAGGATTGGGGTGTACATCATTTTTTTGGTCGCCGGCCAATCCGCCGCCACGCTGTTAGGGCGGTTTTACTTCGACAAAGGAGGGAACAGCAAGTGGATGGCGACGCTTGTTCAATCCGCCGGCTTCCCGGTCCTGGTCCCACTCATCTTCTTCTTCTCTGCCGCAAAGTCTCCATCATCAAGAACAGGACAACCTCATACTAGAATCAGAACAACATGGCTGCTGTCCCTTTACGTGTTCTTCGGCCTGCTCTTGACCGCCGACAACATGATGTATTCCTACGGCCTCCTCTTCCTCCCTGTCTCCACCTATTCCCTCCTCTGCGCCACCCAGCTCGCCTTCAATGCCCTCTTCTCTTTCCTTATCAATGCCCATAGGTTCACCCCATTGGTGCTCAACTCCGTCGTCCTCGTCACCGTCTCCGCCGCCCTTCTCGCCGTCCACTCCGACGATGCCACGGCGTCTAGAATCCGGAGGGGGAAGTACGTTGTGGGCTTCTTGTGTACAGTGGGCGCCTCTGCCGCCTACTCCCTCTACCTTTCCCTCATGGTTTGTCTAGTGCTTTAAAGTCAATTCAACTCTCACCTACACATATAAATATTCCACCTATCCCAAGTTATTTTTTAATAGTATTTCCCACGGAAATTGTTAAAACTTTAGATCATGATTGAGTTGACTAACACTTACAAGATTTTTTATCATTCATATCACTCAAATATGACTTTTTCTAGAGAAGATTTGAAGTATTTGTTCAATATGTATAGTAGCTTAAGGCTTTATACGTATGATTATGTTATGTTTTTTACAGGAACTGTCATTCAAGAAGGTGATCAAGAGGGAAACGTTTGAGGTGGTTTTGAACATGCAAGTTTACCCGTCATTCATTGCGTCTTGCTGCTGCGTGGTTGGGCTTTTTGGAAGCGGGGAATGGAGGAGTTTGAAGGGGGAGATGGATGGTTTTGGGAAGGGGAAGGTGTCATATGTTATGACATTGGTTTGGACAGCTTTGTCTTGGCAAATATGTTCTGTTGGTTTGTTGGGATTAGTATTTGAGGTTTCTTCTTTGTTCTCCAATGTCATTAGTACAATTGGTTTGCCTATTGTTCCTGTTATGGCTGTCATATTGTTTGGTGACAAGATGGATGGAGTTAAGGTCATTGCTTTGCTCCTTGCGCTATGGGGATTCCTCTCTTATGTTTATCAGCACTACCTTGATGATTCCAAGCCTAGTAAGCCACCTGCTGTAGTATAGAGAACTAAGAGAAGAAGCATTCTGCTATTTTTTAAAATGTTAGTACATTGAAAAGCTAGTTGTTGCAGTGAGTTTAACATAAAAATTAAATACACCAATTGTGCAGCGCAGTTGATAATTGTTTTTAGAGAAGATGTTTATTTTAAAAATCAGTAAAACAAATTAAAATATATACAAGTCAAGTATAAACAGAGAATATTCAAAGTAGATAAATTAAAAATTAAATCAAACCAAACTCAACTCTTTGGAAGTTTCAAGTTCCAGTGAAGAGGTGAGATGATAAGATGTTCAAGTGAGCAATCTCACCATACACCATCCCTGAGATTATCTCACCTTTTATTCTAGAAATGCACAGCTTAAAAAGCAAAATGTGTACATGATTTACTACTCTACTAAGAGTGTTGAAATTCTTACCATCAGCAGGGAGTCTCTCATAGTCTCATGCTAAGCTTAAAAAGAGAACAGTTGAATAGAATATACATTTGAATAGAGCATTTATTCCAGTTCCTATACAAACCAGCTCTACCATCACTGAATAAATTTCAGCATAAATGTGCTCACATGGTAAGGCCTCACATGTAAAATGGCCATAAATTAGAACTGCAGAGATTTGTACAGTTCAACTGTTTGTTTGGAGATATGTTTTTTTTAGAAATATGTAGTGCTGAAACAGGAGACAATGTTCAGACATTGTCACTTGTATCTCTGAGATAAAGCCTAAAAATGGAAAAGATAAAGAAGATAAAGCCATTAAGAGACTATCACTTCAAAGTGATAGATCTCATTATCTCAACAATTCAATTGTTATCATCAGCCTAATTACTGAGTACTTGCTCCGTGTCGTTGCAAAAAACATACGTAACAGTATACAAAGCTCCCTGAATATAAAGTTAATTACCCCATGGTAATATCTAAGTTAGAGTTAATAATAAAAATTCATACTATCATCGAGACAAATGATAAAAAACTTGAATTTGAATATGATAAAAAATAGATACACAAAACCAAATGAGAGATTGCGTCATGACTCAACAAAATAGTTTCCGGGTATCCTCAAATGATATTTTCACAAAAGCAAATCATCGAGACAAAAAGAACATGAACTCCAAGATCTCATTTCAGATGAAACAAATGATCATAAACACGTAAATCTTGCCCAGCAGAGCTCTCATGTCTCAACCATCAGTGCATAGGTGGGAAAATTCGTGAAAAGGGAGAAACAACAGCATCTTGCACATATACCTTGGGGTTACTTGGATCAGGGACCCAATGAATCTCACTCAGGTTTGGTGTCTCCACAAAGGTCATGGTGAACTCCCCCACCTTCTCCGCCTTGCCTCTTTTGCCAGCCCTCAACACAAAAGCGTTTCGATTGTAAGAGAAGATGCCATTTGAGAGAGTAATAATATCACCGGGCTCAAACTGATCACACTCGTCAGCCCACATCTGGAAATGAACGGCTGCAGTCTCATCCGCAACTAATGCCAAACATGCCTTTTGTTGTGCATCCCCTGACACTCTTCCTTTGTCTAAAACAATGAATTTTGTGTTTATATTATTTGATGCAGCTGGTACTATGTCTTTCAGAGATTGCATCCTTTCTATGATTCTCTGCAACCAATAATTACAAACATGAAGTGATATTCCTTACCAAATGCTAGGATACTTAAATGAACCAAAATAAGTTCAAACCATGACTCGAGTTTCTTTTTATGTAAGCATTTGTTTCACATATCTGAATATGAAAATTTAAGAAAAGAGTTCCAGGAAAATAAATGAATGAATTCCAAAAAGTCAATCATTATAACCAAACTAACCACAAAGCATTATTCTTGCAAACGACCTTAAGAACATTTGAATTAATTTGTAGCTAGCTATTTAGAACTTGAAAATCTACAACTACAAATTCCGTATTTTGCTCACAGTTTAACCCAAAACGTAGCAGTATCTAGACTCTAGAAGTGACATTTATTGTATATGGAATGTTTGGCAAATTCTCCAACCTACCACAACTAAATATCACCTTTCAAAACCAACTCCAGCTAAACATCAGACGAAAATATGATAACACTACCCTAATTCTTTCAAATCAATCGCTAAGCACTTGAGTTATTACCGAAGATGAAGAGGAAATAATCGGTAGCACAAAGTGTGTCCTCTACTTATCTACCGACCTTAATTAAATTCATACAACCACTAAGCAGCAAACAAATATTAGGGATCCATGTTCAACCAGCCAAATTAAACGATTCTTATTCTACAGCTAACAAGTATTAATTGCCCCCACCCCAGAGAAACGGAGGGAAAGGACTCAAGGTTTTAATCTATGTTCCATACTTCTATGACGAGAGGATTTACAACCAGGAGTTTTGAAAATAGATACCCAGATTTTGATAGAATTCTAAATTCCTTTAAAATCCTAAGAATCATATTGGGGACATCCCCTTAAACAAAGAAGTTGCAGCCTATGGATTTCAAGAAACGATAGAAGAGTGTTGATACCCAGATAACCTGTTCGCTATTTTAGTACCCACATATCCGTAACCATGATTTTTGAACTTGTGAAGTTGTGATCTCCTCCTCGGCATGAAAGAGTGTTTGGATAGATAAAAAAGTAATTGCCCATATAGGACTAAAACAAAGGTGAAATGCAAAAATAAGATTTAATATGTTTTCTTTCCTTAATAGGATCAATTTACTCCTACCGTTAAAAACATGAAAATTTACATCCCAGGTTTGCCCTTGAACCCATTTACACATTCTCTCTCCCCTTCCCCACTCATAGATCGACGATTACTTCTCCAGACCCCAAACATATAACCGCATCTCATCTTCTCCCCATCCCATCTTCTTCGTGCATTGCAGCCACCGCCGACTCTCCCGCCTCAGGCCGTTTTCATCACTACCGACTTCGCCATGCGCCGTCACAGGTTTCCTCTTCTTCTTCTTCCTCTCTTCTTCTTCTTCTTCTTCTTCTTCTTCTTCTTCTTCTTCTTCTTCTTCTTCTTCTTCTTCTTCTTCTTCTTCTTCTTCTTCTTCTTCTTCTTCTTCTTCTTCTTCTTCTTCTTCTTCTTCTTCTTCTTCTTCTTCTTCTTCTTCTTCTTCGATCTCCTCCTCCTTCCCCTCCTCCTTCTCCTATTCCTCTATTTAAATGAGATTTGCCACTGATTTTTCTAGTTTTCCTCATATTCTTATGTTTTCCTGGGTTTTGACATTGATTTTGCCAATTTTAGGAATTTTGTTTGCTATTTTCTGACTTTTTGTTTCAGATTTCTTAATTTTTTAGTTTTGACATTCGATTTGTGGATTTTTGGACTTCTATTTCAAATTTCTGTTTCCTGATTTCTTGATTATAAAAGAAAATCAGTGTTCCAGATTTTTGGACTATGACATACGATTTTGCCAAGTTTATGGCATATTTTTGGATGATGATATACGATTTTGCCAAATTTATGTGAGAAATGTACTCTGACAATCATATTTTGGCAAAACACTTTTTGGATGATGATATACGGTTTTGCCAAATTTATTGTTCTATTATTGTTTTTTTTGAAAATTTAGTTGTGGACTTCATATTTTGCCAAAGTTATGGCAGTTTTGTGTAAATCAGTGAAGATAAATCTGTCAAATTTATGGCAGATCTGAAAATTTGTTCTCAAGGGAGATTTGTAAGTACTCTTCAAGGTCGAATCTGCCAACTTAATGGCAAATTTACTGCGGTGGTGGTGCTCGGAGGTGAAGTGTGGCCCTAGATTGAACACTGGCGACAATGTCGAGGATAGGATGGCGGCGGCGGAGGCGGATGGCGACGCCGTTTGGGCGGCGACGGATGGCAACGATGTGCCGGCAGGGATGTGGCGGGGCCCGGCCAGAACGACGATCGGCGGTGGAGGCAGTTGGCAGCGGCGGCAATCGACGGCGTCGGCGATGGTAGCGGCATTCGGCGGTGGCGGGCAGCTCCGACTCTGGCATTCTACTGCTAGCTTTTTTACAATTTAGGGTTTCAACAGTTTTTTATTTTTCAATTTCAAAATCAAAAAAAAATTAAAACAGGGTTATTTTTGTCCAACTAAGTTGAAATTGGTCCTATGAAACTTGGGCTTCGTTTATAGTCCTATATGTGCAATTAACTTTGTCATTAGTCCTATTTGAGGCATTAACTCTAGATAAAAATCCTACAACATGTTACTTATTAAGACTCGCATTAATAAGCGACACATAAAATAAGCAGTGTTGTAAGATTATGTTTACTTCAAATGATTTAAAACAATGTTTAACATTAAAATGTCCAAAATAACCTTATACATATATACACACAAACATTCATGAATACAAGTATATAATATAATATGTGGGGTCACCCGTACGCTTAGTCGCTTACCCACATCCCTAACCCCTACCCCACCCACCCCACCCTCACCCTACCCCCAATTCCACACCCTTGACCCCACCCCTTCCCTACCCCTACCCTTACCACGACCTTACCCTCCACCACCCTTACTCCCACCCATACCACCTTAGGGGAAGGTGGTAGGGGGTAAAGGGGTAGGGTAAGGGGTGAAGGTGGGGGTGGGGTGGGGCGGGTGGTGGAGGGTAGGGTCAGGGTTGTTGGGGTAAGGGGGTTGGGGTGGTAGTCTGGTGGTGGAAGAGGGGGTCGGGATTGGGGTGGGGTCAAAGTAGGGGTAGGTGGTAAGCGGTAAAAGGGTAGGGTCGGGGTAGGATAAAGGTAAGGAGTACTAGTTGGGGGGTCGAGGTGGGGTCGAGATGGGGTCGAGGTAGGGGCAGGTGGTAGGGGTAAAAGGGTAGGGTCGAGGTAAGGGGTATAAGTGGGGGTAGGGGGTAGGTTGGGTAAGGTGGTGGGGGAGGGGGTCGGGATTGGGGTGGGGTCGAAGTAGGGGCAGGTGGTAAGCGGTAAAAGGGTTAGGGTCGGGGTAGGATAAAGGTAAGGAGTACTAGTTGGGGGTGGGGTTGGGGGTGGGGTTGAGGTAGGGACAGGTGGTAGGGGTAAAAGGGTAGGGTCGAGGTAAGGGGTATAAGTGGGGTATTGTGGGGTGGGGGTGGGCCGAGGTAGGGGCAGGGGTAGGGGTAAAGGGGGGTGTCGGGTCAAGGTAAGGGAAGGTGATATGGGTAGGGTGGAGGTGGGGTAGGGGTGGTCGAGGTAGGGGCATGAAGTAGGGGGTAAAGGGGTAGGGTCGGGGTTAGGTAAGGGGGCGAGGGTAGGTGTGGGGTCGGGGTTGGGTCAAGGTAGGGGAAGGTGGTAGTTGGGGTAAGAGGTGAGGGTGGGGTTAGGGCAGGTGATGGAGGGTAGGTTCGGGGTATGGGGTAAGGTAGGGGTGGGGTCGGGGTCAGGGTGGGGTTAGGGTCGGGGTGGGGTTGGGGTTGGGGTTGGGGTAAGGTAGGGTAGGGCGGGGTAGTGGGGTAGCAATAGGGTAAGGGTAAGGGGTAAAGGTAAGGGTAAATTCGGAAACTGAAAAAGCTTAAAGTGCCGCTTAATTAATACACGGGGGTGGTATGCTTAGTAAGCGGTACTTTAAGCACCTCTTTCGGTTAGTAAGCGGTGTTTTAAGCAACTTGCGTGTTTACTTCACCTGTCTCACTAACCTAACTGTGACTTTAGCAACGAAGTAAACGCCTCCTAAGGATGTTTTTATTTGGATTGAAATTTTGTGATATGATCTTATCTGATCTGGTCTGATTTGATAGATGTCTAGTCTCTTTGGAATTTATAATTATCAAGGTCTGGTCTTGTTTTTTACTAAAATAACTCCAAGTAAAGACATCCTAAGTTGCGATGGACGTGATGCTTACTTGAATTGAATAGAGAAATTAAAGCATTTGTAACATTATCATATTTTTGTTTTGTAAAATTTGCCAATTTGATGGGGAAACGATGTGGGTTTTTGTTTTAGGAATTAGATTCAATCAGTGCTATGAAAAATTCCAAACAAATATTGGTAGGGATTGTTTGATCTAGGTGTACACCCTTGTCTAGCAAGTCCGTGTGTACGTACACACATATATCTATATGCAGATTATGTTTGGCAGACATAAGTCTCTACCTTCTATCTTTTGTACTGTTCAAAAAGTCTCTAAAAGCTTCTAGTTATATGTTTGACATGACAATTTTTAAGAGCTTTTCAAAAATTAAAAGATTTTTTTTGAGATGCTACAAGGAGTAGCATCAGAAAGAGTTTTTTCCATTTTTGGTCCCCTGACTATTATGTCAATGACACTTTTGGTACTCGACTTCTAATTTTTCCATTTTTAGTCCTCGACTATTGTGCTAGAGACACTTTTAGTCCCTGACTTCAAGATTTCCCACATTTAATTCCTGAGTATTGTCAAATCGACACTTTTAGTTCTCTCATTAAGATTTTGACACAATAAGTGGGGGACTAAAAATGTCACTATTATAATAGTTGAAGGATCAAAGGTGTCACTTTTATGAAAGTTGAAGGACTAAATATGAAAATTTTCAAAGGCGGGCACCAAAAGTGTCTCTAGCGCAATAGTCAAGGAATAAAAATGGAAAAAATCAAAGTCGAGTACCAAAAATGTCAATGACATAATAGTCGGGGGACTAAAAATGGGAAAAACTCGCATTTGAAAAAAGCCCGTGACTTTTAGTATTAATTTGTCATAACAACTTGTAACCAAACCGAACTAAGGGTATGTTTGGTACAACTTGCTGAAAATGTACTTTTATGATCTTTTTAGTAACTGTTAGATTTTAGTGACTGAAAAGATTTTAAAAAGAAAAGGCGATACATGTTAGGTAAAAAGCTGACTGTTTGATTTAGCACTGTTTGGTATACAAGCTGTTAAGACTAATTAATATTAGAAGCCACTGACTTATCTGAGATGCTACTCACTGTACGATCTCAAAAAAGATCTTTTATTTTTATATAAAGTTCTTAAAAATTGACATACCAAACGTACAACTAGAAGCTTTTAAAGACTTTTTAAATAGTACAAAAGATAGAAGGCAAGAGCTTATGACTGCCAAACATAGACTATGTTTGGCAGGCATAAGTCTCTACCTTCTAGCTTTTGTACTGTTCAAAAAGTCTCTAAAACATTCTAGTTATATATTTGGCATGACAATTTTAAGAGCTTTTCAAAAATTAAAAGACCTTTTTTGAGATGCTACACGGAGTAGCATCTGAAAAATGCCTGTGACTTTTAGTATTAATTAGTCCTAACAACTTGTATACCAAACCAAACTAAATCAAACAGTCAGCTTTTTACCAAACAGTTACCACCTTTTTTCAGTTAGTTGTGCCAAACATACACATAGCCTAAACCAAACAGTAATCTTTTTACCAAACAGTTACCACCTTTTCTCTTTAAGATCTTTTCAGTCACTAAAAGCTAACAGTTATTAAAAAGCTTACAAAAGTATCTTTTCAGCTAGTTGTGCCAAACGTACCCGTATTGAAAATGTTAATGCTATTTCTTTACTAATTTGATGACGCATGTTGCATGATTAGGATAATGCTCAATTTTCTTACGTTCTATAAATTTTGTGTGTTGTTTATTGCTTAAAGAAACAAACTTTGTGCACAAAATGAATCCCTACATTGAGGGGATAGTAATTGATGCATCAAAAGTAGCTTGAGAATCTTCATGTCGCAGGAATATAAGAAAATAATCTCATTGCTTGATACAA